GGCCACTGTGTGACACAGAGTGTTGGACTGGATGGGCTTTTGGCCTGATCCAACATTGGCGTCTCTTATGTTCTTATGTTCTCATGCTGGGTCCCGCGGTGCTGTGCCTTTAGGTTTAAAAAAAGAAGAAGAAACAAAATTAAAAAAAACGAACGCTCAGAATTCCCCAGGTGGTCATTGTAACCGCAGAACAGTTGTGTTTCTTCAGAAGGTGTCGGTGGTGTGATTTAAAGGACCCCGGGCCTGCGTTATTTCCCCCAAAGCCTGATCGTTAACGCTTTTCTCCACCTTGAAAAGCAGAAAGGAAAAATGAGCCGTAATGAGGTCATGGCACTCTGAACGGGCTCGTTTTCGGTGCCAGTGATCAAAAATCCATCACTCCCCCCCCCCCCCCCCCCTCCCCAAGTCTGCCTTCTGTTCACTTCTGTCTCTGTGACTCCCCCTTCCCCCGAGTTTCTTTTTAATCTTGAAAAATCTTCTCCCCTTTCCTGAAGCCTTTCTGCTCCTTTTGTTGGGATCCCTTCCTCCCCCACAGTTTCCTTCTCCCCCGCTCTGTGACTCACTCTCCCTTTCTTGCGTCTGCCCTTCTGGCCCCGGCTGGCTGCACATTCCTGTCCCCTTAGTTCATAACCAGCCTGTGTCTGACACCACCCCGGTGAGTCATCGGAAGGTGGCGGCGGCAGGAGAGCGAGATCGGAGGTACCTTCTGGCAGGACACTGTCGGGGAAATGTGTGGCCCTTGAAGCCACCACCGGCTCTAGAGATCAGGGTGCTTGTAGGTCCCCGATTTTCTTAAGTGGAAGAAACTGCCGAGGAAAGTCTTTTTCGTCCCCCACCTTATTTCAAGACCTTGAGAGGGAGGGCAGGCTATTAAAAATCTGGGGGTTTTCAAAAAGCATGTATAGGTGAGGGAATTGCACAGCTTTAAGGCTGGCGATGAAGGAAATGAAATTGTTAAAGATTTCCTGTTCTTTGGCTCTGGCATCGACCAAGAAATCAGGAGATTGAGAGCCGTAAGAGCAGCCATGAAGGAACTAGAAAAGATCTTTAAGTGTAAGGACGTGTTGCTGGTGACCCAGACCAAGATAATTCATACTCTAGTATCCTGCATTACTATGTAAGGCAGTGTTCCCTCTAAGCTGAGTTAGTGTGAGCTAGCTCACAGTTTTTCAGACTCCGGCTCACACATTTTTTGTCTTAGCTCAGGAAGGATGGCTTCAGAGCAAGCTAATTTATGCACTAGCCATATTGCTTGCTCACAACTTTAATGCCAGTAGCTCACAAAGTAGAATTTTTGCTCACAAGACCCCACAGCTTAGCGGGAACAAGGTGTGAAAGTTGGACAATGAAGAAAACTGACAGGAAGAAAGTTGATTCCTTTGAAATGTGGTGTGGGAAGAGAGTTTTATGGATACCGTGGACCACCAAAAGGACAAGTGAATTCTAGATCAAATCAGGCCTGAATTCTACCTAGAACAGTGATG